ATGGCTCACGGGCCCAGCCGCTCCGCGGCACGTGGGATCTTCCCGGAGCGGGGCACGAACCCGTGTCCCCTGCATCGACAGGCGGACTCCCAACCACTGCGCCACCAGGGAAGCCCTTTGCACACATTTTAAAGGGTGAGGGCCAGTAGCTTTCTTCAGGCTCTCAAATATGTCTGGGACTCAAAAATGATTGAGAGCCACTGCTGTGAAACCTCTAGAAGTAATACAGATAATTTTCTAAGAATAACCTCTTGATTTCCGCCCCCCGCCCCATGCAGCTGGGTGGGTCAAGCAAACAGTAACTAGCTGTTCAAATATATCGCTTTCCTGAACATAACAAGCTCCTTGGAATGAAATGAGATTCACTTGCCAGGTTAGAATTAGGTGAAGTTTGTTGGAAACTACCGCAACGACAAAATGGTAAGGACCTAGGATGTGTTTATAGGTTAAACTGAGAGTGTAAAAAGCAGAGAGACCACAGGTTTACCAAAATCAGTAAATGTATATCTCAGTTAAAATGACTGATATCAGAAAAACTTCACTTCTCAAATCCAAAGCTTTCCGTACAGTAAACTTTTGCTTAGAGTCCCGCTTCTTACGAGGCAGTGCTCTTGTAACTGCTGTGAGCGCAGCTGGGGGTGTTTCCCTCTCACAGATGGAGGACGTGAGCCGCGGGGGGGAACAAGCCGGTCGTCCACGGTCCCCCTGCACTAAGAGGCAGAGCCGGTGTCGTGATCCATAGGCTTTATGGTACCAGACACTGGCCTCTGATCCCGGTCTCCACTTCCACTAGCAGTCCTGTTCATTTAAGTCCTCCCGTCCAGGCCTTCAGGTTGTGCCTGGTTCTCGTGCGTACCTTTAAAAGTGGTGGGGGCTTCCCTGGTGGCGCAGTGGTTGAGAGTCCACCTGCCGATGCAGGGGACACGGGTTCGTGCCCCAGTCCGGGAAGATCCCACATGCCGCGGAGCGGCTGGGCCCGTGAGCCGTGGCCGCTGAGCCTGCGCGTCCGGAGCCTGTGCTCCGCAACGGGCGAGGCCACGACAGTGAGAGGCCCGCGTACCGCAAAAAAAAAAAAAAAAAAGTGGTGGCCGCTCTTCACTGGCAGCTGAATGGCTCTCAGAGAAGAGACATTTTCTTTCTAAGCCTCCGACGAACATTGCAGACCTAACGGCGCTGTGCTCTCCAGAGCGCAGTAGCCTCTGATCAGCCTGGGGAGCGGGCTGCTTGAACTGCGGGCACAGACTTTAGAGTTGGAAATGGCCTGCTTTTCAGGAAAATAAAGCTGAGGAGCTCTTTCTTCTTCTCTTTCCTGCTGTGACCTTGGGTCAAGTGGCCTGTTTTCTCAGCAGGACCTGGTAACCTCACTAATCGTGAAGGGAGCCAGTGCAGACGGCCCTGTGGTTTGAGGCTGTAAAAGGAAGGTCTCCCCATGAGCTGCTCAACTTCCCGAGCTCGGATTTGGGATTAACCACCTCTGATAAAAGCCGCAGGTGTCCTCCAGGCCTCGGTTCATCCGAAGCCCAGAGGCTTTTTTGAGAGAAACCTTGTGTGTAGCTAGAACGCAAGAGTAATACTGACTCCATCACCAGTGGAGTCTGGTACCAGTCTGGTTGAGGAAGTGCTTCTACAAAGTGCTCCCTCTGAGCCAGGACCCAGCTGATCAGACTGTGGGTCTCGAACCCCCATTTCTGATTTTAACCTGACACATGCTTCTTCCGCCAGATCCCTGGGGCTCGGCAGTGACATCACTCTTGGTCGTGTTCTCTCTCTAGGTCAGCGCTTGTTTGGGGAGACCATCCTAGGGCTCACCCAAGGCTCCGTCTCCGACCTCCTGGCTCGCCCAAAGCCCTGGCACAAGCTCAGTCTGAAGGGGCGGGAGCCCTTTGTGCGGATGCAGCTGTGGCTGAACGACCCCAACAACGTGGAGAAGCTGATGGACATGAAACGGATGGAAAAGAAAGGTAACTCCCTGCCGCCTGCCCCAGCCAATCGCTTTCTCATTTATAAACGCGCTGTTGCTTTTAAAGCCTTCACACCGAGCTGAGGAGGCACACTGGTCCATGCCCAGGGGACTGTAAGGCAGGGTGAAGGGTCTTCTGACGGTCATCCACCGATGAGGACCGAAAAGGACTGGGAAGATTTGTGGCTTTTTCTGCCCAGCAGCCTGAGCCCACAGGCATTTAGCCCTGGGGGGCACTGTGATCATTCCTCAGTCACCCTGGCGACCAGTGTACCTTTTTCTTCTTCAGGAGAATAAGGCCACATGGTGGTGGCTCCTTTGTTGTCTTTTGTTTTGTTGGATGGGTGGGGTATTAAAACACTTCATCGCACGAGTACCACATGGCAGGGCTTCCACAAAGAGGTGGTTGAAAAATGCATTTGTAAATAAGAAGTCTCTGGTTCAGAGAAGTTAGGTGCCTCCTTGGAGGTCACCCAGCCCGGAGAACAGCAGAGCAAATTCCTGCCAGGACAGACCTCTCTCTTGCCGTTACGTTATGGTCTCTGGGGCTGCAGAGGATACGACCTCCTAGAGAGCTAAGAGCAGCTCTCTTCTCCAGACACACCCTGAGCCCTCTCAAATGCTGAGCAGCGTTCTGCTGCAGGTTACGACACAGGAGAAACCCTGAGGGATTTCCTCGGTGGCAGGAAGTGACACCTGCTCCGTGTCCTGGTTTGCACTGCACGTGCCGCCCCTCGTCATTGAGTCCTCCCCTTGGAGGGGACAGTCCTGGGTCGCCTTTAATGCTGCGAGCTCACCTGGTGGCTGCTGAATCCCTTAGGTGTGGAAGAGTGGGCAGCAGCTGCTGGTCTGGCCGTAGGCAGCTGTGACCGCCCCCCTTCCTCAGCTTCTGCAGGGGACCTCACCAAAGAGCGGGCATCACAACCACCCGCGTGACTGTGCGCGGCCCCACGGCCAGCGCGCCTGAGCCGGGGGCGGGTGGAGCCAGGCTCGTACCCTCTGAGTTCACCGGGGGCGTGTGCTGCTCACCTCCAGCCGGGCACCACTGTCCTCACCCAACCGGGGAGCGGGCTGGGCTCCTAGGGGGAGGGAGAGTCTCTGCTCTAGAGACTTCTAGTTTCAGAGTGCCTCCTATTTGCAGACGCTGTGCTGAGACTTCACTCAGCCCACAAAACTCCATCCGGTAGAGATGTTATTATCCAGGGAAAACGGGGCTCTGGCATCACGAAACTTACCTGACTTCAAGCTGGCCTAAGCAGGAATCTAAACGTGGGCTGTTAGGCTTCACAGCCAGTGCTCTCAGATATGCATGTGTTCTGCTGCCCTGGGCCGAGTGCCTGCCACGCCGGGACCACGTGCCCAGACAGCGGCTGCCACGCCAGCCGGGGCCCTCCGGGGGGCTCCTGCCCTGCCCGCCCTCAGGCTGCAGACCAAGGCTCTGACACAGGCTGCAGCCGTGGGCAGCTCCAGGCAGCTGCCGGCAGTGCTGCAGGCTCCAGAGGCCTGGTGCCACGTCTCACACACACACACACACACACACACACACACACACACACACACGCAAAACTTTGTGACTTTTTATCATGGGAAATTTCAGACATAAAAGCAGAGAGAATGGTATCATGAACCTAGTACGTCCATCACACTTTCAACAAGAGCCCCACGCGGCTCTGGAGCTGCTGCTCTGTCAGAAGGCATCCCTCTCGAAGCCGCCTCCTGTGCTCAGGCCCTGGCCGGACCACTCCCTGCTGTGCTGCTCCTGGGCCAGCAGGAAAGGACCTCAGCCTCCACAAATAGATCTCTGGGGGCTTCCTAGGCCTCCACTCCCTCCTGCACAGGCTCTGGGCGCCATCTTGTGTCACAGAAGAGTTACTGTCTCACTGGGGCCCAGGCCCCTCCTCACATCCCAAAGTCCCTGAGCAGCTGCAGGGCCCCCGTCAACTCTCACTGGTAGGGATGCTCATAACCAGCCCCCGCGGGAGGCCAAGGCATCTGACCCCTCAGACACAACAGCGGGTGACCCAGGGCACAGCACTTCCTGTGATCTCCATAGACGATCGGTCACCCGCCCAGCGCGAGGGGGCTGGCTGGACAGACCAGGCTCATTTCTTTGTAGCCTCTTGACTCTTCACCACATTCATTTTAGGGGGAGAAGATCATCTTCTCAATTCTGTCTGAGTTCTAATCATAAAATGGCATGTTAAGTAACTCCCTAGTCTAAGTTGCTGCATCTGTAAAATGGACGTAATGCTTTTTCCAGTTGTAAGGATTAGAATGTACCTAGTATAACAACCAGCACATATAAGCGCTCACTAAATGAGAGTTATTAAAATAATTTGTATCCCTTTAAAATAGATGAAAATAAGCTTTGCCCCCCAGTCTAGCCTACGTTAAAAATTCTGCAGCAGGCAATGCAGACTGTACGATTCCCACGTGTGCTGCACTTCCTCCTCTTCCGTAAAGCTTTTGCTGCTTCTCCCTTTAGCGCAAATCTTTTATTGTTCTCCTTTCTTTCGTTCTTGTAAATCTCTTTCTCTACCCTAGTCCGCCCTCTGCTTTCTGTTCCCTTCACGAGATAGCCCTGAACCTACCTGTTCACACAGTTCCAAGCACGTGGAGACACACACACGCAGCCTCAGCTAGCTCGGGGGCTGGGCTCCCCTCCCCGGAGGCTACAGGTGGACCCTGATAGTCTTCTGAGACATTTGAGACCCACATGTCAGTGCTGCTGAAGTGTGTCTCCCTGACTTCCCTCGGCTCCCGTGGACACAGCCCCGGGCCCCGCTCCCGTGCCGTGGCGGGGCAGGGCGGAGGCGGGGAGCGGGGCTGGCCACCATCTGGCTGCACAGGGCCGGCAGTGCTTCCCAGAGCAGACTTAGGTCAACCTCAGTTCTGTCACTCACTAGCCGTGTGACCTCAGGTGAATCACTGAACTCTTAGGCTTCAGTTTTTCCGCCTGTAAGTAGGAATGATACCGGTCTGTCTCCCGTAGGGTAACTGTGAGAACTAGATGACCAATGTCTGCCCCTGCTGACACACACTGCTCTTATTACTCCGTGCCATTGGAGTTAAATAACACTGTTTCTCAACTTTCGTCAGTTGTAAGAAGTTTTGAGGAATTTTCAGACCGTATTCCAAATTAGTTCACTAGAATGACCTCTGTGGATTATTCGTTTGCTCAAGAAGTCCAAATGGTTTTTAAGTTGAAGCGTAGCTGGTGATTAATGACACGTAACAACAGAAAGGAGCAGACGAAGCACACGTAGCACTGGTAGAGCAAATATCTCCCGGGAATCACCCCCCATTTCCCTCACAGCCCACTCAGCACATCCCCAGGTGACAGTCGCCCCTGAGTCCCTGAGCCTCGTCTCAGCCCGCTGCCCACCGCTCCTAACCCTTATTCCACAGTAAAAAGACACGTGAACAGCACACGTCCTCCCCTCGCGCCAGCCGCTCTGCCCTCCAGGCCACTCATTTCCTGACCTCTGAGCCCTGCTCTGGCCGCTCCTCCACTCCTGGGTTAGGAGCCTCCTCCAAGCTCGGTCCAGCAGGTTTTCTCGAAGGCCCTTCCCACCTCCATCCGCCGACCTCCTGCTCGCTGTCTACGTTTTCTCAAGACTGTGGCCCCTGGATCAGCGCCTCCCTCCACGCCCATGTCCTGCCTCATCCAGGGGAATTTTAAGACCCATCTGACCTGTGCAGCACCCAGGCCTCAAGTTCTTTGACCTCCTCAACCCCTGATTCCCCAAATTGCATCCTCGCCCACAACTACTCTACCTCTTGAAGCCTGAGTTCAGGTGCCCCGTCACTGACCACATTCCACTGTCCGTCCACCTTTCCACGTTTCTCCGTTCATCCCACCTGACCCCAGATGGCCTCCAGAGCCTGGATATCCCCTCCCAGGCTTTCCCCCAGCAGCTTGCCCTCTGCTGCCCTTCTCTCCTTCCCCAGAACACCACCCCCCGCCCTGATCCCCACTTTGGTACTCTCTGGCCATGATACTCTATCGCACACCTTTTCATTCCTCATCCCCCTGCAAATCCCAGCCTTGACTTAGCGCCCTGCCCGTCTTCTTCACCCAACCTCCTTGGCGTCTGGGACCTACGCGGGTCGGTGCCGCCTCAGATTTGTATCTCCGGTTTCAGTAGGGTCCTCTGTGCTTCTCCCCACCCCCGCCATCACCCCCTCCATCCCCACCACCATTTCTCACCGACCTGTCTCAAGACTCCATTTCCATCTCTTCAGATCACCTCTCCTCCTGCCTTCCTACTTCATAAAGAAAACCAAGGCCGTCAACTCTCCCCACCTCAGTCCCTATAAATGTGTCTGTATGTCCCCGCCTCCTGCTCCTGTATTCAGGACCCACCTCATGCGCCTCCGGTGGCCGTCTCCTCCCTCACCTGTAGCCCCAGCTCTCTCTGTCTTCTCCCCCATCAGCTTGGAAACATCAGCTCTCTCTCATCTTTAAAGGGCCACCCTCGACCTGGGACTTCCCTTCTAGAAGCCATCCTGTCTCTCACTTTTCTTTTACAGTTAGGCTTCTTAGAATAGTAACTCCTGCCCACTACCTCCACTTTCTCACCTCCTGTTCACTATTAAGTCCACTGCAGTCTGGCTTCTGCTCCCACAGCTCCGCTGTATCTGCTCACCGAGGCCTCCAGTTACCTCCTAATGTCTAAGCACCCAGGACATCCTGGGTGCTTGTTGGACCTTCCTTTCTGCAGCACTGACACAGGGACCCTCACTGCTCACTCATCCCTTCCTCACACCGCTGTCTCCTGGTTTGCCTCCCGTCTCTGTATCCTTCACGGCTCCTGCTTCCTGGGGTACCCTCTGCATGTGGGGCTTTTCCAGGATTCCATTCTCGGCCTTGCTCTTTTTCATCAAGGTCGCTGACTTAACTACAAGTTCTGTTCTAGTGGTTCCAAGTTCCTCTCTCTAGCCCGGACCATTCTTCTGAGCTTAACACCTGTCTTTCCAACTGCCTACAGAACATCTTGACGTGGGTGACCCAGAGACCCCTCAAACTCCACGTTTCCAAGACGAACCATCATCTTCTCCCTTTAATCTGCTCCTTCTGTGATACCCAGCCCAGTGACACCAGCACGCACCTCACCTCCCACACCTGAGCCCAGGGGGCCGTCCTCAGCGCCGCTCACTCTGGTCCCTTGCCGAGTCAGCCACCACGTCCTGTCAGTCCCACCCCTCACAGCTCCGCCATCTGTCTGCTTTTCTCCGGCCCCATCACCACTGCCTTGGTGCAAATCTTTATTCTTCTTTCCTCCCGACTGGGCTCCTTCCTTCCAGTCCTTCCCACTCCACCCTCCGAGCTGTCGCCAAGGCAGCCTTTAAGAAACAGAGAGCTGATCACATCATTCGCCTCATTAAAATCTTTTCGTCTCTTCCCACTGCTTTCTAGGTAATGTCCAAACTTGTGGCCTACCCTGGCCGCCCATCTCTCCACCTTTAGGTCCAACAACTCCACCACACCCCACACCCCATGTGCACGCGCGTGCGCACGCACACACACACACACACACACACCACACTTTGACCGTGCTGTTTCGTGCCTCTGTGTGTGTCTTTGCACACACCATTCCCGCTTTCTGGAGCAGCCTCCTACCATCTTCACTTCGCTGCCTAGTTTTTCTAGTTAATCCCTTTGTCCTTCAAGATTCAGTTTATAATCACCATGTCTCCCAGGAAGCCTCCCCGGCCCCCTCCCCAGGCTGAGCTGAGTACTCTCCCTCAGCGCCCACCTCCGTGGCGCCCCACGCTTGCCTCCCTTATCACACCTGACTGGGGTCACCTATCTGTGTACTTCTCTGTGTCCCCACTAAACCATGGGTCACGCAGGGACAGACGGGGACCTCACGTCACGACAGAGCAGGTCCTCGATGAGTGTGTGTTCGGTTTCAGAATGGTTCTAGCCCAGGTGTTTCGAGATGCTCTCAGAAGAGCAGGGAGCTGCCACAGTCCACACGGCAGTGTCTGGGAGTGGAGGGCGGAGGGCGTACCGCGTAGTGGCGGGCCGGGGCCGGGGCGGGTCTCCCCGCTGGTTCTGCCCCTCAGTCTGCCTCCTCTCCCCCCCTCAGCCTACATGAAGCGGCGGCACAGCTCGGTCAGCGACAGCCAGCCCTGCGAGCCCCCCTCCACTGGCATCGACTACAGCCAGGGCGCCAGCCCCCAGCCCCAGCACCAGCTGAAGAAACCCCGAGTGGTGCTGGCTCCCGAGGAGAAGGAAGCTCTGAAACGAGCGTATCAGCAAAAGCCATACCCGTCACCAAAAACCATCGAGGAACTCGCCACCCAGCTCAACTTGAAAACCAGCACCGTCATCAACTGGTTCCACAATTACAGGTACGGCCCTGCTCTCACCCAGTAGGTCAGCTGCAGCTTAGAGGACGCGCGTTCAGCCAGTAAGTCAGCTGCAGCTTAGAGGACGCGCGTTCAGCCCTCGGGAAGAGGCTGACGGGCACTGCAGACACTGGCTGATCACCGTGCACAGGGACGATGTTCTGGGGACTCATAACTTGGTGCTTGGTCAGTTAATTGGCTTCTTATTCGTATTGGCGTTTTAAACCCCAAAGACGTAGGGTCATATGGTTAGAGACCAGAACAAAAATCTCTCAGGGCTATCATTTAAAAAGGGAGAGTGTAGTCATTCATGGTTCCACAGTAGTGACCGTGTATTTGGTGATTTTTTTAACGCTTTCTCAGGGTCTTTTACAGTATTGTTTTCCAAATTAGTTTGATTAGTTTTGTAATTAAATCAATTAGGTAGTGTAAGACCCTTTCTTCTGGGAAAGTCATGAGTTAATGAAGATTTATTGAGCATCTACTAGGTCTACAGACACTGAGCTATGTGTTGTAACCAGCACTGTATCACTTGATCCTCACAACTGTGTAAGAGATACAGTTTTTTCCACGTTTTATAGATGAAAACATAAAGCGCAGAGGGGTTAAATAACTTACCTGAGGAGGGAAGGGCCCAGTGCTCTCCTCTAGAACAAAGGACTGGGGTAAAATGTTTGGATTAGATAATGGAGGTCCACTGACAGATAATGAATTGACGATCACTGCTAAAACCAAGACTCCCTACTGCTAGAAACCAAGAATTCTCAGTGGCCTGATGGAAGTTCCTGCCTGTTTAATGCCTCGTATGTGGCCATCTCGATCGCTAGTTCCCATCAAGACATCATTTTCCCTAGGGCTCAGCAGAACTGGGGTAGGTGCTCCTGGTTATACCAAGGCGACAAGTACACATGTATAACCAGTGCAGGCGGAGCCCTCATGGTTCGTCACCTGAAGTAAGTGGCAGGTAACAGAAGATCACAGACAGTCAGGGGCTAGAGGGAGGAGTTGTGTCTCAAACTGGGGCCTGCCTCATCGGATAGGCTCTGCTGGAGCTTCTGACAGGGCACAATTGTTCCCAGGTTCTGAACAAATTGGAAAATTTTTAACTATTAGATGGGAGCCAAAATAATACCTTTATTGCTGATGAAGGCCACGTTAGCAGATGTAGCTTAGTGTGAGAGCCCAACAGCCTTGCTCCCTGACCCTGAAAACCAGGCCAGTTTATCCGTCACGGCCCCACTGGCCCCCGCAGGCCTCCCCGTGTGTAGGCTGGCCCCCAAGAAGACAAAGTACATGAGCTGAGCATGGCTAGCTTATCATCCTAAACTTACCAATCAGATGAAAACAGAGGCAGAGTAAGGTCAGCAGTTACAATAACGGAGAGCACCCTCTGCACGGAAGGAAACCTCCAAAGTAGTAAACTAAAGTGCCGTGAAGGCTAGTGAATGGAAACGTGGGCAGAAGCTCACCCGAGCCTCTCCTTGCCAGGTGTCCTTTCACTTTCTAGACACAAAGGTGCGTTTGAACGTGTACTTTTGAGTCTTCTGCGAGTTATGTCCATTTTAATGCAAGAATCGTAACCCTGGACAGGGGTGCCGGGAGCCGTAGATGGCTGAGTATCTGGGTAAAGGTGCTACCAGTCGCACAAAACATCTCCAAAGCCATTGCCCCTGGCCCTGCTGGGGCCACCTTTTTTTTTTTTCCAGATCCCCCTACAGGCCTCAGTCGAGTGGCAGTCGCTGCCTCCTGGCCAGGGCACGTGCCCTCCACGTTTCCCAGCTGGCCTCCTGACCACCACAGTAGTGCCAGCTGGCCATTGTGGAGATGCCTCACTTGAGCATTTAAGCAAGTTCAGCTATAAAGAGAGGAGCGGGGGATGGGAAGAATAGCAGCAGAACCTCAAAAGCTAGCCATGAGCTCAGGTCCGGACCTGGAGTAGATGGGTGCACAATAAATGCTTTCTGTCAAACGTACTCCACAACAAAGCAGGCTGGGAAGTCAAGTGGCATAACCGAGGGCAGAGGTGAGTTTCCCCTGCAGAGATCTGGATGGAATATCCTGGAAGAGGTATGATACGGCAGAGTCTTGAAAAAAGAACTGAACTAGAGAAGAATTTTATAAGCCACAAAATAGGCTGGATGAGAAGCGACACCAGGTCATTCAGAACTGGCATAAAGCCCAAAGAATTGCAGTCCCTTGCCTAAGGTCACCCAAAGGAAGAGTGCAGAGCAGAGATTCCAGCTGAGCGAGCACTCTCTCCGTGGCTTTAGCTCTTCCGCTTAAATGCTTAGACTAGACCAGCTTACCTGGTACATCCCTCAGAGCTTCACACAAGGACGAGCACGCAGTAGCACTCAGCACACGTGCGCTGAACGCGTTCTAATTCCTAAGCGAGAGGGCAGTTTCTTAGGTTCTTTCCACAGGAGTTAAACAGAAGTTGACTTATTTTTTACTGCGCCACTGGAACCCTTCGTAATGTTTGGGGTCGATTTTTGCCCCCATCAAAAAAATAAAATAAAACTTTACTTCCTCTTATCCTTTCACCCTAAGGAACTTAGAAGTACTCTAGGGTGACCATTTACCCAGGAATTTCAGAGCAACACAGCACAGGACACCTGGTCTCCTGCAGAAGAACAGGTCCATTAGAAGAAACTCTTCCAAGCCCTAAAAGCCATGGCGTCCTGTCAGCCTTGCATGACGTGTGTCTGAAAAGCAGATTTGTTTCTGGGACCTGATCTTTCTAGACCAGAAGATAATCCTCCTCAGGGACATGGAGACAAATCTAGGCTAAGAAGGATGACGTCTCGTATCTGCTGAGCGTATAACATGTGCCAGGCACCAGGCCAAGAGCTTTGTAGATGTTATCTCATCACTTCCTCTGATCAGCAGTCGAATTCAGTGCTTGCTGCCAGCCCCGTTCTACAGAGAAAGGTTATTATACACGTTAGCCGAGCCAGCGAGGGTGGCAGCCTGGATCCCAGGCCCTGGGCATGAAGTTGTCCCTTTCCTCCCTCAGCCCTTCTGTCTCAGCCTCAGTGCTTACAACGGGGACTTTGTCGTTGAAAAGGCAGCTAGATGGTAAGAACAGAAGAATAGTTCCTTTTTTTTTTTCTTTTACTTTTCTTTTTTTTTTTTTTTTGGTCTACTTTGTGTCCTGTAGTATACATCAATATTTAATTGTAACATCTCTGCAGGGAAGACACTATTCTCCATATTTTTCTGCTAAGGAAACTGAAGCTCATAAAGGTTAAGGAACTTGCCCAAGTTGCCCGGCTAGGGAGTGACAAGCCAGATTTCAAACCCAGGTTTTGCCTGGTTCCAAAAGGCCTGTTCCCCAAGCCGGGCCAGGCTGCCCCTGAGACTCAGTTAGTCCAGGGTAGGCCTGTGGCCTGGATGGGACCAAACCCTCAGCTGCCCGGCTAGCCTCCCACCTCCGTAACCAGGGTGGAATGGGCATTTCTGGCTGCCAAAGGGCATAAAAGCCAGTAAAGAGCAGGTTCGCCCTCCCAGCAAAGTGCCCAGGAACCCGTTTATGGGAGCTGCCATTTCACGGGCTCCCAAGGGCACCCAAGGGAAGGAGAAAAGTCTTCCGTTATCCCTGGGAACTTCTGGGGGGCCTCAGGATCTCACCCGGGTAGCTCTGGCTCAGGAATCATCTTCAGGACAAGGGTCAGAGCTCACCCTATGCGTGGAGCAAAAAACTATGTAGCAGATAACCGTGACCAGAGTTCTGATATACTGGACTCAACGACAGCCGGATTCTCCCTGGCCCCAGCCTCCCTACGTCCAGCACAGGAGCTGGCGTATCGTGGGTTCTCAAAGAATGTTACCTTTATTGAGTTATAGGCGCCGTATAAAATATCTTCGTGTATGCCTAACCCCAGGGCTTTCTGCAGGCCCAGTCTCTGCAGGACACTGGGCTTGGTGCTCATTTCCCTGAAGATGCTTTTCCACGAACAGTTGGCTCACGATCAGAGGCTCTTTCAGCTCTTTGGAAGAAACACCTAGGGAGACTTCTGATTGAGCCCAGTACTGTGAGCGTGATGGGAAGAGAAATTCCAACACAAGACAAAACAGACTTAACAACAGCCCTTTCATCACGTCACAAAGGCTCCAAAACAGGGAAGGCCAGGCCGTCCCTGGTGGCGCAGCGGTTGGGAGTCCACCTGCCGATGCAGGGGACGCGGGTTCGTGCCCCGGTCCGGGAGGATCCCACATGCCGCAGAGCGGCTGGGCCCGTGAACCATGGCCGCTGAGCCTGCCCGTCCGGAGCCTGTGCTCCGCAGCCGGAGAGGCCACAACAGTGAGAGGCCCGCGTACCGCAAAAAAAAAAAAAAGAAACAGGGAAGGCCAGGGCCCTTCTGTAGCTGTTTCCTCCAGACCCCACAAAACAGTGAAGCACACTTTCCACCGTAGGCTGAACTCAGCTTGATTAAAACATGCTTGGTGCGTTGGAGCACGTTATTTGGTCTCCTTCCTGCTTGATCAGAAATGACCCTTTCCTGGTTTTCTTTTAGACGAGGGAGTTAGTTGAAATACATAATTTGTCAGAATCCCGCCTCAGCCTTGACCAGAGGCCCTGCCTGGCCCGTGGCTCAGAGCGGGACACTGAAGATTTTCACTTTGGGCGCCGTCTAGTAATTGGTTCTCTGTCACAAAGTCCAGATGAGGAAGCACTGGTTATCATTCATGCTCTCCTTCCACATATGAATTCAGTCGCCCTTGATCACTGTACACCAAGCACCATGCTAGCCTGGGGTGTGCTAAGAATGGGACCTCGCCATTCCCAGCCTGGTTGGAGGTCGACTGGCACGGAGGTGGAGGAACCGTGCCATTAAATAAGTAACGCTGGCGCTCCATCCTTGTGAAGAGGGGACTGGCGTGCCAGCCAAGGGACAGGTTACGCAGAGGCACCGAGTTTAGGAAACCGCGGGGTCTTTGCTGGCTCCTGGCTGGGAAGGGCGGGGCGGCTTTAAAGAGGGGCCGCCCAGGAGCGGGCCCTGCTCTGCTCTGGGGCCCACAGGGGCCTCAATGGCTGTTCGGCGGGTGGGAGTGTGAGATGCGGTGCGGTGGATGGAGAGAGGGCGTCGGGGCGCAGATGGCAGGAGGCTCAGGCCGCAAGGGAAGGGGCGCAGAGCGCCCGTGCGCGGCGGCCCCCTCATGGCGCCCCCCTGCTTGTGTCTCGTAGGTCTCGGATCCGCAGAGAACTGTTTATTGAGGAGATTCAGGCCGGGAGCCAGGGCCAGGCCGGGGCCAGCGACTCGCCGTCGGCCCGGAGCGGCCGGGCAGCGCCCAGCTCGGAGGGCGACAGCTGCGACGGCGTGGAGGCCGCCGAGGGCCCGGGCGCCGCGGATGCCGAAGAGTCGGGCGGCCCCGCGGCCGCCGCCAAGTCTCAGGGAGGAGGGCCGGCCGAGGCGGCCGCAGCCGCGGCCCCGGAGGAGCGGGAGGAGGCGCCGCGGCCGGCGGAGAAAGCGGAGCCGCCGCCCTCGGGGACCCCGGCCCCGGACGCCGCCACCGACGAGAGCCGGCCCCAGGCGCCACCGCCGCCGCCCGAGGGCCCCGCGGACGGCCCGGGGCCCGTGCCAAACCCCGCCGCCGCCGCGCCCGCGGCCGGGGAGGACGCCGCTACCTCAGCCGCCCCGCCGGGGGAGGGCCCGTGCAGGGCCCGGGACGGCGCCGACAGGAGTTCCGCTTTGCCAAGCACCAGCGCGCCCGCGGCCGCCCGCAGGCCCAGCTCGCTGCAGAGCCTCTTCGGCCTCCCGGAGGCAGCGGGCGCCAGGGACTCGCGAGACAACCCCTTGAGGAAGAAGAAGGCCGCGAACTTGAACAGCATAATCCACCGCCTGGAGAAGGCCGCCAGCCGGGAGGAGCCCATCGAATGGGAGTTCTGAGAGGGCGCCGCCCGCCCGTCCCGCCGAGCCGGGCCGAGTCTGGCCGAGCCGGGCCGCGCCTGACCGGGCAGGGCAGAGTCGGGCCGAGCTGGGCCTAGTCGAGCCGAGCTGGGCCGAGTCGAGCCAAGTCTGGCCGAGCCGGGCCGAACCGGGCCGGGCAGGAGGGGGGGCGCCGACTCCGCGGCCTGGACCTTGTTGCGCACTTACCGCCCTGCGGGCCACAGGGCAAAATCGCCATAGGCCAAGGTGCATATAGAAAACAAAGGAGCATTAAGCCCAATCTATGTCGTGTTTTCAAGGAAGAAAACGGAAATGTGTAGTCGAGCTTTTTTGTACCCTGAAGTGTTTTTTTTATTGCCCTAAGTGATTTCCACAGGTTCTGGAATAACTCTTACAGCTTTGCCTTGCGCCCTCCTCTTTCGTGTGGGCTTTAAAAAAAAAAAAAATCAAACCCACATATTAAAAGGGGGCTTTTTATCTGCCATCTAATGGCTTCAGAGCGATAATACACTATTATCTTCTTAAACCAGGAAAAAAAGGGGGGGGGATTTTTCAGAAAAATTTAAAAAGAAAGTTTTTGTAGCTGTTCAGTTGCCACTAAGAGATTGCACAGTCAAACCGACTCTAAACACACTAGTTTGGATTCCTAAATATTTTCAAGCAAAGAATCTTCTCCTTTGAAACTTTGAATTAAAGTAAAACACATTTACTTCACATATTTTTTAACAAAAAGAAAAGTCACATCAGGAAACTCTCTGATTTTGTGGTAGCTGACGTAGTGTTTTCTCGTGCGTGAATAGAATCCTGACACGTAGTGCACATTGATCCATAGCTTTAACTGACTCTGGGCTTTTGCTGACCAGGGTTTGTTCAATACACTCCATTCTAGGCCAAATCAGGACAAAAAGAAAAGATCCGAATCTAGGTATTTTATAATCTGCTTTTTAACCTCTAACCGCAGAGCACGCTGATCAGACCTCATATCTCGGAGGTGTAGGAGACAAGTTAGAACTGTAGCATGTACCCGTTCATTTTGTTTAATTTATGGTGTCTTACGTCTGTGTTAGTGCGTCCTGCACACGTACGAGCGTTGAAGGAAAGGAGGAAAGAGTAGGCCGCGAAGGTCGCCGCAGGCAGATCTGGGGCCACACAGGGCCCCTCGTAGGCAGCAGTCTTTCCACGACACAGAAGGCACCGCACCTCACACCACTCTCCCGGGCACCTGATGGACTGAGCCCCACCAGGGGACGCCGCTCCCTGGGCCTGGGCAGGGCTTGCGCATGCGCACACGCGCTCTCTCGATCTCTCTCTTTCTCTCTCTCCCCCCTCCCCCTCCCTCCCTCCCTCCTTCCTTCCCTCCCTTTCTCTCTTTCTCTCTCTCTCTCTCTCTCCCCTCCCTCCCTCCCTCCCTCCCTCCTTCCCTTTCTTCCCACCACAAGCACTGATGACTGTTGACGTCGTGGGAAGCCTCCTTCCTTCCCTGCAGAAGAGAGAACGTGGCAGTCTGGGCTCGGCTCCCACCCCCGTAGAGATGGCCCAAACTCACACCAAAACGCTGATGCTCTTCACTTCCAGACCAGACCGTTGGCCCTCCATTCATTTTGCCTCTTGGAACGTTCTTTTATGCACAGTTTAGGGCAGTCTAAGTACAAATCAAAAGTCTAACTTGTCTCTGATTCCTCCTGTCGTCTATGTGTATATGCGTGAGAACAGAGGTGGATGAGAGTGTGCGTGTGTGCGTGTGTGCAATTTTATACGTCTGTGTATTTTCTTAAGTACCTGTGCACACATAGAGTGCATTACTGCCACCTTTTTTCAATAAGCTGTTTTATCAGTTATGGCTTCTACAAGTTTGCTAATTTAGACTCCTTTATTGCCATATCTTTAAACTAACAATAGATGATTTCGGTATATATATATATTTTTTTTTGCTTATTTATAGGTGCTGTATTTTATTATCTGATTGTTAGGAAGGGATGAGAGGGGCAAATATTCTTTAGCGGGATAGACTGCCGGCAGTATTGGGTATAATTTACAAGATGTAGTTGTCATACTGTATATTACTGATTGAAACCTTTTTGACCGTATTGTGTATCATTGAAACCTTTGTCTTAGGTCAACATCTTTGGATGACATTTTAATGGTGCATTCATTATTTCTTAAGTTTAATTAATATTACCTTTTTTTGATTTGGGGGGGTGGGAGGGAGTTCTAATTTTAAAGGTATGCTCCCGCTATTACACCTCAGTGTGCTTGTATTAATTAACTTGTAGGACTTTGACTGTAAGATGTGAAACCACATTTCTTGCATGATGTTTTAGAAATTATGTATTTCATTTACAGTCTTTTAACCTGCAACTGCAGCACTTAGTTCAAGTTTTCACAAGCTTAAGAGTCACTACACTAAAGACTATGCCTTTTCATGAATAAGAAGGTTGCAGAAGGCTCTAGGAGGCTGGGAGGCAGGCCGTTTGTCTTTTGATGGTTGCATATCATCTCTGAACTTGAAATCTGGTTCGGTGAGCAGAGAATTCAACATGGAGGAGCTTAAGGGGAAAACGGATTCACATCTGGCTGAATCCAGGTGCGGTGAGAAGAGCGAGTTTGCATTCGTGACCCTCAGGACAGCAGGCAGCAGAGCCCCTGACGGCACTGTGTGGCCCTCTCCACGAAAACCTCGCGGAGGGATGCGGCCACCACGTGCGCTCAATCTCCAGATGCCTGATTTTCATTAGAACGAAAAGCAGGGCGTTAACAGGGATGCTAGGGTAGTGTTTTCGTCTTAAAGGCATGACTGTTACCTGCTAAGGTGTGACATCTGAGGAAATTGAAAAAGTATAAATCTGTCCATCCTAGTGGCCAAATAGTACCGTCTAAAACAGCCGCTTTGGCTCTTTCAGGCAATTTAGTCATTTTTGTTGTCGTTTCTTTGTTTTTAAACTAGGTTATTGTTGATTTCCATTCTATCTTTTTTGCCAGGCTTACATCTGGGTGCTCGATACAATCAGTTGGTTAAATTTTGCTTGCAGCTCCATGTTTGTATTTTTTCTCTATTTATTTTATTTTTTTTTTTTTTTGATTGCGATCCCAACACTATGATCTCTTGTGTTAAGCTGTCACTATAATACCTTTAAGAGCTGCCACTAAATAACAGAAACCTGGCGGGGGGGAGTGTCCCCCTCCTCTTTGCGCCCCTCATTCTGAGTCCAAGGGTTGATCTTTCATCTTGAGAAGCAATATTCAAGTGCCTTGAACAGCATCCTCTCCGTGGGCTTTATCTTCAGCTGGCTGGCGTTCCAAGCAGTAGCTCCCACAGGCAGCCGACCTCTTCCTCTTTCCGCTCCATCAGTTTAAAAAGCTGATTTGTACCTCTCCTCTGGGGAAAACGGTTTCGTATAAAACACTAACACTTAATTACAAGCTCCATTATACCATTTTAAATGGCTTCTTTTTGTTAATTGAAGGCAGTGTTCGTAAGTTAAGGTTTTTGCCATTACTTAGCTGGCTGAGTGGAGGCTCCGCATACAATCAGTGTTCACGTTCAGCCTCTCGACCCTTGGTTCCCGCCCACGTTCTCCTGTGGTGTCTGAGGTGGAAGGGGTGTGGGTTCTGTCCCAGCCCTGCGGTTGTCTGTGATCTCTGTCTACCAGACCGCCCTTCTTTAGGAAGGGTTACCGCAGCCATCTAGCTCTAACTCGGTTTTCCTCAGAGCCTACCTTCCCAAAGAACGTCACGACACAAGGTGGCTTACGGTCAGCAGACTGGGGAGAAGTCTCCAGGAAATGCCAGGATCTTGTATGACTACTCTCAAACCATGGCCACTACGTCTGGGAAAGTGACCGAGGCAAAAAGATGAGAGTTCATGGCCTCCCTGGGACAGTTTCCCTGAACTTCCAAAGCACAAATGCCTCCCTGCTCACCTCCCTCCTGTGGGCCTCTTTGTTTTCCCCCCCGTTTAAAAGCCAGATACGCTGGTTGTTGGTCCCGACCCACAGTACGACGGAGCTTTGGGTTAAGTGTGCGTCTGTTCTCCCTCTGGCTGCGAGAGACCCTCCCCAGCCAGCCCCAGGCCCAGCCGCCAGCTCCAGGAGGAAGGAAACACCCGAACGCCTCCATGCCTGGGGCCACATCAGCCCACAGCCCTGAGCAGACCAAGCAGAGGGCAGGTTGTACGCAAGCTCTGGCATCAGCTAACTACCCTCAGATCACCCAGCAGTCGTGCCCTAAGAGGTCGGGACGAGAGTCACCGGACAGCTCTGTCCGCAGGCAGGTGCCTTTCCGGCTAAAGTTGGCCTGGGTTTCTTTGTTCTCCCTGAATTCATGTCCTTACATGCAGGGGTGATCAATGAACTCTATTGACTTTCTATGCAATGTTTTTCATTCCTCTGATTGTAGGAAAACAAACCTCCCTGAAAATAGCAGAGGAGCCAGGGGGAGCATAACGGGCCATCCTTCAGGGATGAGCACAGAGTGAAAGAGCGATGGTGATTTACTAGGTCTTGAACTTGGGGACAGTAGCCTTTGCCTTAAATGCACTGTGGCAGGCACCTCTCGACGAGCCTGTGAAAACAAGAGTCTGTCCTTAGCCGTCCCAAGCTGCTCCTCTCTGAGGCCAGTAAGCCAGCTGCGTGGAGGGAGGGGGTAGAGCAGGGCGAGGTCCTGGCCAGCGTGGTGGGCTGGTGGCCGCGCCCCTTCAGCCTGGAGGTGTGGCTCCCTCCCTGATGTCCTTTGTTGTCACACTCATGTGTCCCCTTCTACCTCACTAACCATGCTCCCACTCGATCTCACCCCTCACCCCTCAGAAGCGTGTGGCAAGTGGGATCCGGGAAGGGAAAACCTAGAGGCATGGCGTCCGTGAGTCCAGGCGGCTTCCCTCTTGCACAACACGGACAGACAGCTGTTCTCTGTGAGGCACGGGGACTCTCCTCGTGGCTTCCACCTGTTCCTGAAGCTCTCACAGCTGTTTCCTTTGCAGGCAGGGGCCGTCTCGGGCCTCAGAGGGCCTTGCCTTTGGCCGCCTCTGCACTCTGTCCATTCCTGGTCAGCTGTTAAGATCCGTCACAGCCATTTCCCTTGCCCTGGGCTGCCCCTCCATGGCCACGTGAGGTCACTTCCCCAGGATTCCCACTTGGCCTCGGGGAGCTCTGTTGTCTCTGGCACTGGGAGGTTATCGTTTCAGCACCTCCGTGGGAATCTTCTGAAGGACAGGAGAGAATACGGCCTTCTCCAGCCCTCATGCCCAGTCTTCAGTCACGTGACCCTTTCTTCCCCAGAGAATAGGCCAGTTTCCGCCCCGTGCTGAAGAAAACCAGCTCCTAGGGCTGCTGGTTAGGTGTGGTGGCCAGAGTGTTCTGATGGAAAGAACTTGGAAGCGCTCGCCAGGAGGAGCTTACATTTAGAAATCCCCCGGCTGCTGCTGCGGTCTCGTTTGGGCCTTGATGGCGTTAGGGTAGCCTTTGTGACCCCCGAGGCAGAGCTCCTGCCCTAAGTGTCAAGGTGATGGCCTGGGACTCCAACATGCTGTACGTCTGTTTCCCCAGTGCACTGAATGTCGGTCCGGCCAGCACACCTGCTTGCTAAGAGGATGGTCCAGTTTGGCAATGTTCATTCCCATTCCCATCCGTCGCTGCCTTTTGGTAGATGAAAACTACCGGGAAACGAAGGGAAAGCAAGTTAAAGTTCCAAAAAGATCAAGGCTTTGAGACCCTTAGAGATGTGCAGAAAACCGAGGCCAGAGCACTCGGGGCTGATCGAGGTGGCAGAGGAAGGGGCGTGGGCAGTGCCGAGCTGAGCATAAAATGAGCCCTGCCCTGGAGTCTGCCCTGCCCTAGCAGCCTGGGAGCCTCATCCCTGGGAAGAAGGACATGCAATTCCCCACCACCATCACCACCACCGTCTGTCCCATCGCAGGAACTGCCCCCACCAGCCCAGGCCCTGCTACCACCCCTTCCGTCACCACCTTCCCTCCAAAGAGACTGTGTCCACGCTGTCAGTGGCATCCTCCCCATTTTCATTTTTGGATGAAGTGACATTTAGCTTTAACAAGACATTTCCAAAGCGCCTAGTCTCCTCCAAAATGCTAATTTTAAAAGTTGGGCATTGTAGGTGAAGGACCTTAAAAAAAAAAAAAAAGGCTAGTGAGAGAAAGACATTAGGCTAGGCATAAATGCGCACTTCCATCCCCTCCATTCAACATCTAAAATAGCTCTGAGTTGCTTTTCATGGATCATTTTAGCTTATCCAATAGTGTAGAGTCTGTGTTACTGTAATTTCTGTAGTGTTTAGGCTTTCATCTCTACCACAAAATATGCTATATGCTATGAATCAAGCTTTCTGTGATCAGAAAGGAAAGGTGCCTTATATCCCAATGTCATGGCTACATCCCTATGGAGAATAATCAGAAGCACAGTGTGTACGGAAGCATTGGGACTTCCGTTGGTGAAACCAGACACCAGTCAGCGAGATGCATTGAAGTGGCACGGGGCTACTTTTGTTTTCTGGTTCCCTTTTTTCTCCTTTTCGTTTTCCTTTTTTTGTTCTTTTCTCTCTCTCTCTCTTTTTTTTTTTTTTTTTTTTTTGCCTACTTTGCTTTAAACAGAAAGCACTTAAATAGATGACTATGTGTGAAAGCTCTGTGCAATAGAAATCACTTTTCTTCATTTTTAAGAGGTAACGTGTTGCACACCAAATGAACTCAAAGTAAGCTTTAGACCAGGGCGATTCAGGTTGTGGAGGAGTAGGACAAGTTTGTCCACTGTAGTTCCGTGTGTTCATGAACTGAAGGGAAAACGGGCCTCCCCGGCATCCCCCCCACCCCCATCTCAGCTTGCCTCTTGCTGACCGCCAAGCTAGGCGTGTAGGGCCCACGGGCACCCACCAGAACTGGCTGGGTGGCAGGGCGGGCGGAGGGGGTCTGTGACTCAGCAGCTGAGAACCTTCCCCAGTGTGAGACCACAGCTATCCCTTCCAGCACTTAACCTTTTCTTGTTGAGATGGATTGCTACTGACCCGCCAGCGTGCGTGAGGATAATTATAAAAGGATGTTTCCTTGAGAAAAAAAAAAAAATTATTTCTAGCCTCTTCTATTTATTATTAGGTTAGTCCTTTAAGTACTTACCAGGAGTATATTGTTATTTTGTGTCGTTGTTGTTGTCATAAATGCTTTTTGCTATCACTCCAGTGGTTACCGTCTTCTGCCCCCTGCCCTCCCCCGCCCCAAAGAACCCAAGGGTCTGAAGATGCGGGGGGGGTGGCCAGCGGGGGCTTCTCCAGCAGAATCAGACATCTGTCTCCAGGGCAGCCACCCAAACACTGGTGGTCTCCACACGTCTAACTTTTCAAAATGAGAGAGTTGATGAACAACAAAAAAAAATGTACCCATGTAAGGAAACGCGGGTTGAAGGACGCTTGCGTGAGGAGCTATAGAGGAGACTTAGAAAAAGCAAAGCTCAGTTCCCCAAAGCCTCCTAGAGCCTCTGGTCAGACTTCTGGGTTCATGACGTTTCAGGAGCCCCGGGCAGAGCGGGTGCGGCGGCCTGGTCGAGCCTGACTTCGGGTGAGAGAGGTTTCCGGCAAGGCTCACATGGGCTGACAGGTTTCGGTTGGCTTTTGTTTCTGTTGTTGTTGTTTTCCTTGCCTGCAAAGTTGGTCAGAACCTTCTTGAGGAACAACCGTGTTTCCTAGTCCGGCTGCGGCTTAAGGACCCACCCCAGGGGGGTGGGGTGGAGTCCCTTATCCCCTTTCACGTGGTCAAGTGCGGAGGAAGTTTGGACCAGGGGCACAGCTTTCTGTGGCTAGAGGCACAGCCAGCAAGACACCCAGTTGCTTGCTCATCGGGTGTTGGGGTGCAGTGGGACTGGTGGTGGAGGCCAAGGTGGGGCTCCCAAAGGGCCCACCGACCGCCGACTCACTCTCCGTGCCGTGACTTTCCCTCCTCTGACGTCATTTGGGGTCCTGCTTCTGTCCTTGTCTCTTTGAAAGAAAGCCCTCTGATGAAATAACGGCCCCCATCCCTCCCCCGCCAAAGGGTTTTCATTTCCCTCCAAGTAGTCTATGCATTTCTCTCTCTCTCTCTCTCTCTCTCTCTCTCTCACTCACTCTCAAACCGTTTTCTGCCTCCTCGGAAAAACGGGCATCTCATGTCCCACCCTCTGAGACCCCCTCAGAAAATGCTGTGCAGTTTGGAGGCATGAGGTTTCGTTCAAACTTCCAAAAGCATTTGCGGATAGCTTGTTATAAAATAAAAGTGGGAAAAAGCAAAAGAAAACGCGGTGTCCCCCACGTCCCTTTCCACTGAGTAAGACCTAGCTCTTTGCGATTGTGCAATAAACTACTTGCCATGAGAGCGGGTGGCCACGCTCCTGCCCAGACTACTAACTAACACAGCACAGGACGGCCGGCCGCACGGCGGGCCTCTTCCAGATGACTCCTAATAAGCTCAGCTTCCCCCCCGCACCCCGTGTCTTGTGGTGTCTTACATTTTAGCAGTATTTTATATTTTCTGTAATGCACTAAGTCTTAGATGTTTTTAGAGCTCATTTGTTCATACTCACAATCACAGACTTTTTTTTTTAATCCTCACAACGACCCGATTGACCAAAAAAAAAAAAAAAAAAAAAAAACCATCATTTTTGTACAAATAGCTTTGAGAAGGTCTCTGTTGTGTTGCTGTGAGCCATCTCTAGTAACATTTTATTTCTGCTATTTGTTTTCGACACGGTAAGTCAAAAGTTGATCCGCCTGGCATGGGGGTGGGGGGAGGCACCCGTCGGCCCCTGGGCGTTGTCCCTTCTGTCTTTGGTTAGCCATACGATGTTTGTTCTCAGCACTGTACAACGGTCCCTATATGATATGGAGAAGCAATATCACTGTATGAAACTCACACCATGTATTATTATTATTCACTAGCACCGTAGGTGTGATAATTGAAGTAAATATCTTTTATACAAACACAAGAACGTGTGGGTCGTTTTTATTTAAAGGGCTCTGGCCTGAGGAGGAGCAGCAAACACTTTGATTTGGGGTCCAAAGGGCACCTCGAGAATCGCCTTCCCGTGCTTCCTGGGGCGTGTGGCGTCGGGGCAGGCGTCGGCCGGAACCTGGGCCGGGGGAAGGATGCGCGGGGATCTGGGGACCAGCAGGCCCTGCGGTCCTCAGGTCGCCGTCTGGGCACACGGTGACGTGCCCCGTCGCGGCCTGCATCGCTGCTTGCTGTTGTGTCGCCCTTACCGTTCGGGTACCTTTGAAGCGCTGGCCCTCCTGGCAGCCGCCTCCTTGTCTGTGAAATGGGGGTACCATCGCGAGTCTCACAGGACCAGGAATGGCGGGCGACCGTGTAGGGTGTGGCGCCGGCGGCCTGGCCTCAGCCTGCTCTGTGGGGTCTCTTGCTTCGTCCCTGACTCCTGTGATGTGAAGAAGGACAAACTCAGGGCACCTGTGAATACAGGCGAATGGGTGGGAAGACGGAGGCAGGAACCATGTCTTGTGGGCTTCCAGCATGATCGGCTCCTGAGAAAGGGCCTCTCCAGCCAGTGCTCGGGGCTGGAGGTGGGAGAGCCCTGCAGAGTTGGCTGCTATGCGCTTGTGACCGAGGAGGCTTCTCGTCTCGAGATTTACAGGATTGGAAAAGCATTGCCATCCTTACCAATGTATGACTGGTGCGGGGGGTGGAGGGGGTATATTAGTTCGTTGCGCCTTGATGTGTAGGTTTCAGCATGTGAAGCTGCCACACGTGATACAGAACCGTGAGCTAAACGAGACTCAATTTCCCCTCCATAGGAGACCCCAGAGCAGGGAGAGTCTCCCACCCGCACTAGGGGCTCCCAGCAGCCCCTGTCTCAACCCGTCACTCGGGTGTGGAAGTGTAGAGCTGTCCCCGAATGTCTGCCCACCCACCCTCCATGGGAGAAGTTGGCATAAAACCAGTAAGGCTCTCCCAGGTTGGCGCTGAGAAACTTAAACCTCGCTGGGAACCTTTTCTGTTTCTAGTTGAGGCACACCCCCACTTTTTAAAGACCCTTTAACTAAATTAAAAGATATAATGTAAAAAAAAAAAAAGCACTTAGCACAAACTCCTTTTACCCAGAAGATCTCCCCAAGTGCTTTTGCCGTGAGATTTAATTAAGCAGAACGGCAGTTGCACATGGTTTTGCAGGACTGACTCTTGTTTTTGTAAACGGGCAGCTCCAGAGGCAGAAGAACAAGCGAGATTTCACGCTCTGACTGCAGTCGGGTGCTGCCCGCACGGAGGCAGAGCGTTCCGCCTCCCTGTGCGCGGCCTTTCTCCTTTCTCTCTGGTTAAGTGGCTCTGGGCAAAATTATGTGCCTTATTTGATGCACTGGGGAATTGCAGGTTTATACGGGGTAAGGCGACACGACGATGTAATTATTAAAGTGCGTGAGTCGTCCACAGCAGTCGGTCTGCTGGTGTTTCAAAGGGCTTTCAAGTGGCTGCCTTGGGGTGTGTTGCTATCTCCTCCATGGCCCTAGATGCTGGATTTGGGGGTACGCAATTTACAGGCCCACGTGTGGGGAGCCAGGGTGAGAACCCAGAGGGCTGTGGAGAACTGTTGTGACGTTGGTGGGCACTTGGGAAAAGGCTAGCAGATTTCACCAGAGTGGCCTTGACGTGGGAGGTGGCACTTGTGATGGACAGGCAGGGAGGACACCCAAATCGAGGGGCAGCACGTGCACAGAAGAAGGGCGACAACCTGTCGGGTCAGTGGAGCAGGAAGCCGCGGTGCTGCGGTAGGGCGTGCGAGGTGGGAGGCGGATGACCGTACTGTTCGTAAGAACAAAGCCAGGTCTGGAGGGATGCTTCCCTAGGTGATGCTTGTTCTCTGATGTCAGGAAAGATTCGGGTGCAGCCGACAGAGTCTGCAACCATACTTGGAGTGAGGGGGCCCCAGCCAGGGAGGACGTGCCCTCCACCCCCTGTAGCCCCCCAGCAAGTATGCACTCACTGATTGGGGTGCAGGGTCGCCCTGGGGCTCTGCGCTGGCAGATCTGCTGGCCCAGTGCCAGGGCACAGCCTGGAGGGATCCGGGTGAGGCCTGAGCAGTTATCAGGTGGTGGGTCCAGCAGAGGCCAGCTGGCCCTGCCAGGCTCCTGCCGCCTGTGCCCAGCCACCTCTGCCCCAACCTGGGAGACCCTGCAGCCCTGGGGATCCCTGTGCAACCTCCCACCTAGAGGAAATGGTGCTTCCCCGCTGGGCGGAATCCACCAGCGAATCGCACACTGAGGGTTCACTGTGGACCACTGCTCTGGGCGCTGGGGTTATAGCAGGAGACAAACAAGGAGCTGACCTTCTAGTGGGGGGAGGAAGATGATAGACATAATCAATGAATAAGTGAATCACATGGCCACTTAGACGGTGCTAAGTGTTATGGGAGTAAAACAAGGCAAGGGGACAGGAAGAGCAAGTGGAGGGGTTAAAGTTTTAAACAGGCGGTCAGGGTAGGCCCCACTAAGAAGGTAACATGTGGATGGAGTCTTGACAGAGGTGAGGGAATGAACCATACAGACGCCCAAGGGAAGAACGTTTCAGGCAGAGGGAACAGCAAGTGCAAAGGTCCTGTGGTACAAACGTGCCTGGAAACCAGTACAGCTGGAGCACAGTGACCAAGGGGAGGGGCGGGAGGCGACGAGGTCGGAGCGGCAAGGGGGAGGCGCGGCAGGTGGGGCCTGGTACGGCTCTGGCTGTTGTTACCCTGAGGGATGCGGGGGCCTGTAGGATTTGGACAGAGGGTGGTCTGATCTTACTGTTTAAAAGACTCTCTGGCTGTTGCTTCGTGACTAGATTGAAGGGGTGAGGGTGGAGGAAGGGAGGCCAGTGCGGGGGCTGTTGCCACAATCCAGATGGGAGGTTGCGACCCGGACCAGGTGGTGGCAGTGGTGAACCTGATTGGATTCTGGATCTATCTGGAAGAGAAAGCCAAAAGCAGGACATGTGACAGATGAGATGTAAGGAGTGTTGGAGAAGGGCAAGGATGGCCCCAGGGGTTTGGTCTGAGCCACTGAAGAATGGCCTTGCTTCTGCTCCTCTCAGCCCAGAGGGCCATGGGACTGGGGCTCCTGCTGGGGCGAAGCAGACTGTGGGGCGGTGTGGGGGGGCGGAATCAGGCTTCAGTTCGGACCCGTTAAGTTTGAGACGTCACTTAGACAGCCAAGTGGAGGATGAGCCCAGGAGAAGGCGTAGACTGGGGATGTGCGTGCATTGGAAGGTCATCGGCTTATAAATGGCGCCCGAGGTGGCCAGAGTGAATGAGAGGAGAGAGAAAAGCGTGCAGGGGCGGCGCACTGGGCGCAGCACCATTCAGACCTTAGAGGGGAGAAGGGCCAGCACAGGAACCCGAGAAGGAGCGGCCAGCAGGGCAGGAGGCCCGGGACAGTTCCCTGGAAACAGGTGCTGATGGCTCAGTAAGATGAGGGCTGAGAAAGGAGGACGGAGTGAGGTGTGAGGCCATCAGGGACCTTGGCGAGGACGGTTGGTGGAGTGGGCGTCCAAGTCTGACGGGGAGGGTTTACGGAAGTGGACACTCGAGACGAGGCACCTTCTTCAGGGAGTTTGGCTGGAGGGGTCAGTGGGGTCAAGAGAATGGGAGGGTGTGCATTTCAGATGGGAGGATAATGTGCTTGTGTGCTTGTGGGGAGAAGCAAGGGCCGCAGGACATGGAGGAGACTTGCTGAGGACGCACAGAGCGAGGCGCTGGCATCTGCAGGCACAGGGAGGCATCTCTGGCCGCCCGTGGGGATACCCGGGCACAGAGGTGGGGAGGGGGCGGGTGTGCTAGCGGCTCACCTCCCCTCAGATCCTTCCAGGCACAGAGACAGTGCACATCTCCCGCCTGGCTCGCAGGTGGCTGATTTAATAAAGGGGTCCCCCGTGTTCGGGAAAGCCCTGGGTACGACACCACCCGATCGCGATTGGGGTACGTTTGTGCATTTGATCGCCCTGCACTCAGAAATCAGGCCTTGACCCGCAGTCGTAGTCCTGTCTTCTTAAGTCTTGACCTTGACGTCGCTTTGCTTTCTTTCTCCCCTCTGTGAAATTGAAATGCACCCCCTAGAAAGCCCTTCCCGGATTCTCCCAGAAGGACGAGGTCCCATAAAGCTTCAGACCCACCTGACGTGGGCCACCTTTCAGAGGCGAGGGGTCTCTCTCCACCACCCCAGCCCCAAGCCCCGCGCTCATCCCTCTGTTGCCCCTCCCCCTCCAAGACGCAGCCTGTCTCTCTGCACAGGCTTTTCCCCGGGTTGCAGACACTCCATCCTGCAGCATCTCTTGAGCATGCCGCCCCCCCCATCTGGCATCCGTCCAGAGCGGGCTTGTCCCCACCTCTGCACCCCTACTGCTCCCCCGCTCCGCCACGACCCTGCCCGAACGCTCCAGCCTTTCTTGAGACCCCGGTGACCCCTCCTTACTCACTGACGGTCCCTGTTCAACTTGGTGTCTTAACACGCTTCCTCCTGATCTCCCCGCTGCTTCCTGCTACCTCTTCTCCGGGTCTTTTCCGGGACACTCCTGAAAAGGTCAGCATCCCCAGAAGTTCTGGCCGTTCTCACGCAGCACGCTCTGGGCATCCACGTCCGCTGCTGGGCGCTCAGTCACCCCAAGACCCGGAGGTCTCCGCAGCCTGCGTCTGCAGCCTGTGGGTCCCGCTCCCCGCCATACACGTCCCCTTAGCCGTTCCACTAGCGCTTCAGACCTGCCATAGCCCAACCACCCAGCGGCTCGCCCCTTCCCCATCTGGGCGGCCACTTCCAAGCACGGGCCTACCCTCCTAGGTTCTCCGCAACAATGGGGGTCACGACTCTTTCCAGGGCCTTCTACTGCCTTGCCCCAGGGCCAGAATTCAAGCCCAGGTCGGCCAGACTCCAGCTCAGGACCCTCCCTTGACACCAAGTGGCCACCCAGAGACGTGATCCCAAATCTGGGTCTGCACGTTCCCGC